ATGTATATGTCAGGGAATGATCGAAGGCATAAGATTTTTTTTTATTTTTTGACAAAAAACGCCTTTAGTTTGGGAAGCCGCCATTCTATCAAAAATCAAAATGTTGACTTCGATTGTTATCTGTATACATCTTTTATAATAATAATTTCTTTTTGGTTTTTGAATTACATATAATTTTGAGCAGAAAAATCTTCCACAGTGCCAGAAATTCTTTTTCGGAGGTCCTTCTAGAGTTCAGTTAAAGGGAATCAAAAATTTTTCAGAAATAACCGCCGATTATTAATGTACATCAAATTCTGTAAATCTACATTTGTTATTTATTAAAAAAAATGCCCTATTTTTATACCCTGAACAGGTTATATTGAGGTGGCCACCAAGTTTGTAATACCCAGAAGGAAACGCCGAAGATTCTATGTATAAAATATAGTGACAAATGATCGGCATGACAAGCTGAGTCGATTTAGTCATGTCCGTTTGTCTGTATATATGTGAACTCGTTGCTCAGTTTTTGAGATATCGATCTGAAATTTTGCATACGTCCTTTCATATCCAAGAAATTACTTGTTTTTCGGCACCGCAGATATTGGACCATTATATCATATAGCTGCCATACAAACTGAATGATCGGAATCAAGTGCTTGCATGAAAAACTTTTTCTTTTGAGAAGAGATATCTTAACTAAATTTGGCATGGGTTATTGCCTAAAGAAATAATGCGAACTCCGAAGAAATTGTTAAAATCGTATCACTATAACATATAACTGCCATACAAACTGAACGATCGGAATTAAGTTCTTGTATTCTTTTTGAATCTTTTGTATTTGTGAAGGGTATTATATATTGTTAAGAGGCAAGTATTTTTCGAGACGATGCTTGGTGATGGAAATTTCAAACCATAGATTCAAGAAAATTATATACCATTTGATCCAATCTGATCCGGACTGGTAAAAAAATGCAAAATAAGCTCATCTGGTTGGCATTCAGTGTCCTCATACCCAAAACTTAAACCACAATGTGTGAAGTCGATCCATAAGGGATCTCTGCTATTTTTTTATGCCACCACAACTATTTTCAAGCAATGTTTTTTTAACTTTTTCGATGTTACCGTCATTAACAGAGGTGAATGGACGACGCGCATATGCCAAGTTTTCGATGACTTTACGAACTTCTCTAAATGCTTTGTGCCACTCAAATGTTTGTGTTCGCGATAAGGTAGATTCCTCAAAACACTGCTGCAACGATTTTAATGATTCTGTAGTCGTTATTCTATTGACAACACAACATTTCAACCAAACTCGTTGTTAAACTTTTTTCCATGGGAAAAATAGCCAGAAAAACCTTTCGCAACGTGAACGAACAGCTGCTAAACTGCTCACTAATTGAGATCAGATGATGACAACAAAAATGATTGATATTACCAAAATGTTAACAGTGTAGAGTTAGCTTAAAGCAGTTCGTTATACCACTACAGTACCAGTAGCTTCTGCCGGTTAATTTTTTCCACCCCAGCTTGTGGACGAGCGAGCGAAAAGTGTTGTATTTTTTGAAACTGTGTTGCTGTCAGTTGTTGAGGATTACGAACAGACCCAATAGATTTTAGAAAAAATATTTATAAAAATGTGATAAATGTGTCGCTCGCGCCAATGTTTTGAGCGTACACAATCTTCGCATATATGTATCTAGGTATGTATATGTAGATATATATATATTTATTTTTTACAAATATACAAAGTTTTCGCATAAATATTTGCCAACAATGCTCCAAGATTTTGAAAGTAATAAATTTAGTTGAATTTATAATTTTTAAATTCTTTAAACAAATATTTATAATTAATAATATGAAATATATACACAAACATATATATATCTAAATACCTAACCATAGTTTTAATTATGGACACAGCATGGACATTTGTTGTGCTATATATTATATTTATTTATTTTTGTTGCTGCCTTGTTTTTACACATAAACATGTGTGCAATTGCAAAAGTCAAAAATCGCATTGCGAATGCATAAATTGCTTTTAGCCGAGTGAAAGTAAGGTGCTGCTACATATGCAATACCTATTCATCTTAGAGCCTCAAATGCTTGGGTCAATATTTGGCGAATTCGACAATAGATCGATGTGAACGCTGGCACGCCACCCAATCGGCGACAGTTCCTGTCCAACTGCAAGTGTGTGTGCGCCTGTGTGTCGGTGAGTTGGCTACCGGTGTGGCATATTTATGCGCAACGCGAACAGCGGCACGCAGCCGCTGGCGATCGATAAATCACCTGCTAAGGCATAGAAAACTAAAAAAACGAAAAAAAAAATATTGCGCAAAAGTTTATCGCAAATGTGGCGACTAATACCGGACGCGCCCAAAAAATGTCACAGATAACCGTGTGCCTTGCAAGTGTATGGGTTGGAAAAAATTGAAATAAAAGTTTGACACTTTTTTTAAGTTCAATTTTAATATATTGCCTAGGTACTCTTTATTTTTTTTTCAAAAAAAAAAATTTTTTTTACTTTGATATACATATATATAGTATATATACATGTATCTACATTGAACATATTTTGCTACTATATAGTATTTTTTAAAAGAAAGTATATGTACATTTGTATGTTATTATTATTTTTATTTATTTTTTGCTTTCTTGCTAATATGCAATGGATCTTCTGGTGATGGCTTGACACAATGGTGTTTTTTTTGAAAAACCCCATACTTGTTGTTGGCAACACATTTTGCGTTTCTCCACTTTTCTATTGTTAATTAATGCTATTTTATATTCTATTCTATTTACTTGCCAATTTTTAACACACATCGATTTGCCGCAATACAAACGTGTGAGAAAATTTTTGTATATATAATAGTGTATCTTTTTCTTTTTTCGAAAAAATGAAGCAATTTTGCAGCATCTTCTTAAATTTAGTATATATATTACTATGTGCATATACATATGTTTACACATATACATATATATTTAAAAGTATGTATTTGTGGCACTTGAGTATAACACTTGAGTGAATGTTAAAGTTTTTGACAATTGAGTCGCCATATTTACCCCTGCATTGAACCATATGGATGCAAAGGATTTTTAGTTAGACCCGAAGTCTTTAAACCAACAGTTGTTAGCTCTCAAAGCAAATTATCAAAAAAAAAATTCAAAAGTTTTTGGTTTTCAATTCAAGTGTGAATTACAGAAAAGGTGTGTGTGCTTATAAAAAAAAATTATTATAAAATGTCTTTTTTTTACAACACAAAGCTAACGGTGCATTTCTTTTTTATATAAAATACAAATATATCTTTTACTATGTAGCTGCACATTATGCTCGATATTTTTTATATAACGGCTGATAAAAACAACTTAAATGAGCTCTATTAAAGCGATGCCAATGAAAAATATTTTTTTACATACATAAATATTTTTTTTTATATACAAATATATATTTTTTTACATAGGAAAATATTGTTTTTTTACCTACATACTATATTATATGTTTCTTTGATAAAAATCAAATCGAAACTTTTTCACCGCTTCCTGTGACGCTGCAAGGCATAGGTATTTCGATTCTATTTTTGTGCAAATTTTCCAATTGATTGCATGTACTTGCATATTTATTGCGTTTGTAACGGTTTTTTATACAATTTCTTCTTTTTAAGCGCCTTTTGGCAGCGCGCGTGTTGTGTGGGTGTTTTTCTGCCATTTAAATCGTTTCTGCCATTAAAAATTAAATAATTTGATTTTCTAAAAGTAATGCAATTTTTAACAACAAAGAAATGAAAAAAATGCGAAAATATTTGGCGAGCTTCCAATAAAATCAGTCCAAATGTCGAGTTTTATATATTTTTATAAATTATGATTATATTTCTAATAAAAAAGGAGCGCATGAATGCTTTTGATTAGCTGAAATTATGCTTAGGTGCGCTAAAACCGCATATCAGGCATATTAAACAGAGATTTTTTAAAAATATTTTTGATGCTTCAAACACTTTGATAATTTCTATTTTTTATTTAATTTTTAACTTGTCTACTATTTATTGTCGAAGATTAAGGCAAACTTGAAGGTCACATGAAAGATGACTGATTCATAAATTCGTCTTTAAATTGCAAATATTTAAAATAGTTTCATCGTTAAGGCCACCGAGTAATTTTATTATTTTTATCTTATTTATAATATTTATTAAATTATGCCGGCATTAATAAATTATAGAGCTTGGGTGATGCGAGAATTTCATAATTATTTTGCTACTTTAAAAAACGAAAGAATTTAACTAAAGAAACGGTTGCAGTTAGTAAGATGAAAATTATGATAAAGTGGTCTAAAATATTTTTTTGTTCTCTAAAAATATTCACTTCCCAGAATTGGCTGACAGAAGTTTTTGTTGCTTTCCATGGCATATTATTTTAGGTTAATCTATTTTTGCTACAAAAAGTCAGAAAACACATCGACTTTTCAAAGACCTGATTTGGGACTTCCAATGACAATTTTATAATTTTCAACTTAAGACAATTCTATACTCTTGAATTTCTGGTTAAAAATGTGCTTGGCTTTGAGATTTCTAAACGTAACGGTTATTGTCATGCGAGGAGTACAAAGAACAGGGTTTAAAGTGAAGTAGTTAGTTTGTGAAATATAGCTAATGAAAAATTTAAATGCAACTTAGTTGCGACTAGCATAAAGTTAATCGCAGGTCAGTAGGAGACTTACTTCTTCTTTTAAGAGATATTAACAACAAATAACTTTTATAGGGAGTCTAAAATAATGAAAATGTCTAAGATACCACTTGTCGTTATAATAAATATGGAAGATATAATCGCATTGGCGTCATAAATTGAGTATAAAAGTTATGTTAACATATCGAAATATAAAATATCGATATATAAAACACTTATAAACAAGCATATCGATATACGCTGTTATCGATAATTTTCAGAATATAATAGAAACAAGAATAAACGTTAACTGGCAGCTACATATATACTATAGGGACACGATCTGATCGATTCCTTTGGAGATTACACCGTTGCCTTGGAAAATAACCCATGCCAAATTTTTTGAAGATATCTCGTCAAATGAAAAAGTTTTCCATTCAAGCACTTGATTTCGATCGTTTAGTTTGTATGGCAGCTATATGTTCCGACATATAAGCAGCTTCTTGATGAAAAAAGAACTTGTACAAAATTTCAGATCAATATCTCAAAAACTGAGTAACTAGTTCGCATAGACAGACGGATAGAGAGACGCACATGGCTAAATCTACTCCGCTCAACACGCTGATCATTTTTATGTATATGTATGTACATACTATATAGGGTCTCTGATGTTTCCTTTAGGGTGTTACAGACGTCGTTGCTAACTTACGGTATAAAAAATTATTCTAAAGTATTTGAAAATAAATTCGACTGATACTTCAATTTATTTAAATAAGATAAATTTTCATACTTTACAGTTAAAAAATGAGTGAAGTCCGCAGCTTGATGACTACTTTTGCCACTTTGGCTGTGCTATTGATTCTTCTCTGGCTGTTGTATGCCATCTTTTAAGCTAGAAATCAATCGAAACAAAAACAACAACAGCGATCACAGGTGTCGTACTTGCGATCGTGTAGTATAAGTATGTTGCGTGTCTAGTATACGAAAAGGTAAGTTAATTTAATGGTATTTTGAGGTTAAACATAAGGTAACTGTATACATATATATACAGATTAATACACGAATTTAGTGCCACTCAAATAATAAAAAAATATATATTTAAATAGAAAACTACATAATTTTCAGTAATGCTTAATTTTTTTTGTTATTTAAAACATAAAAAAAAAACACTAACCAAACCCCCAGAGTTTTTCAAATGTCTTCGGTTATATCTCAACTTTTCGGCAAGTTGCTGTGAATACACGAAAATCAGCTATTTAAATATTCATAAATCAATTTGTCAATCTTTATGAACACTAATGGAATTAAAATTGATAATTGAGTTTCTTATAAGCAAAGCACCGAAAATAATTCTAATTCAAAGCGGGAGTGACGAAAGTCGAACACTATATTCTTTTTCACACATTTTATGGTAAACAAATAATGCTATATTATGATGAATATATAAATGATTGCTATACTGTAAACAAATTATAATGGCGAAAGTAAGTCAAAATTATATGCTCGGTGTTGGCATGTTGTACCCGTATATAATTATATAAATCGGCAAAAAAAAAGAGAAAATCTTGAATTATACATACTTGTATATATAAATAAAGGAAATGTATGTAAAAACATATTTATTTTTGTTTGAGTGTACATTTGGAAATGTATGTAATATTTATTCTTGTTTGAGTGTACATTTGTTCCAAATTCCAGAGGTTTAGCACGACCGAGTTTCGTAAAATAAAACATACACACATACATATTTTTGCAACAAAAATATACGAGGGCCGCTACTTCCCCTATGTAACATATATTCCCTTTGGAAATGACAGCCAGCTGTCAATTGTCACCTCTTCTTTAGCATAACATTAATGACAGTAAATTTGTACAGTGCAGACAAGTATTTGACTAAATTTCTTAATTGGCAGTTATTTCGTCTGTTGCTTAATGGTAGTTGTGTATTTAGAAATATTTTTTCCTCAACCATTATTTACGCGGCTTCTAAAGCTAGGTCCATAGTTAGACATAGATCATTATTTTGTGATAACCAACGTCAAAATTTTCGACTTTGAACTCTATACCATCTTATACCTTTAAGAAAATTATTTCGATACATTTCCAAAAAAAAAAAAAATAATAATCTGTAGTTGTCTAAAGAAGATTATTTCAATGAACTGCTATAAAATATAATCTTCAAAATATATTTCCTTGGATAACTTCTTAAATAAACTTCCACAAAAATCAATCTACACTCTATTAAAAAATAAAGTATGACTTGTTCAAGGACCTGTTTTTATCGGCTTCAACTTTGTTTCTGTATATATTTTTGAGAACTTTGCTTACGTGTAGAAAAATTTCACTTATGAAGGTATTGTATATAATAAGCGACTGTCAACTATTCTATTATCTCGATTAATCAGAAACCTATTTATTTCGGTATACACATTCCAACAACTCTTGCTATACATTAACACCAGAAAGTTTCCGAAAATTGTTTTTTTCGATATTTTCATGAACTCGTTTCAACAGGATAGACGGTCAATAAAGAGTATTTGAGCGTTTGCGTGAAAACATCAAGGCATGTTTCGATGATTGGAAAAAGAGGTGGCATATGTGTATCGCTTCAGAAGGAGCATCTTTTGAAGGCGACAAAATAATTATTGATGAAGATTAAAACTTTTAGTTTTATTTACAATTTCCGGAAACTTTCTGTTTTATTCTATCACATTTACATAATAAATTCTTTATTTATTCGAAAATACATAGATAGGTGTTTTCAAGCGATATTTACTGTGTGTGTTGATAACACCGGATTTAGAAAAGCTTTTAGACGGCTTTAAAATAAGCAAATAAATATTTTAACGATCTTTATAGGTCTACAGTTAAACGGATAAATTCTTTTGATCTTAAAAACTTAAAAACCTTTCACAGCAGCCCTCGTAAGCTTTTGTTGTACAAACATTTCGCACGTCTATTTACAATTTTGCGATACCATACATTTCTTTGTTTATTTCTTTACGTTTTAAAAATTCGTTTTACAAAAGCCAATGAAGTAAAACTGCCAACGGATAAAATGAAATTGGCATTTTACCTTTTGGATATGAAAATTTTATTTGCAACAACTTGTATGAAGATCTTTAGCGCCCACACAAAATCAAAACCGATCTACCACAATTCCATGTCAATAATCGCCAAACGTCTGCTCCGTCATTGCACATCCGACGCTAACGGTATTTGACTAAAGGCCGCCGGCAAGTCGTCCGTGCTCCAACCAGCGCACACACGCACTTGGCCGCGACGAAAGCAGAGTATTTGTTGGAAAGCAATGAATGGTCGCCAAAGATCCCATGATCGTAGCCAGTTTGTGTGCGTGTGTGTTTGTGTATGTATGGGTTAGACGTACGTACATACAAATAGATTCATATTTAAATATTTTTGGCCAAATCCGCACAGTTCGCACGCTTTTACATACGAACATAAATTTATATGTTTATATTTCTATGTTTATAGCAAATGTACAAGTGTATATAGGAGTGCAGTGTGTGCATATATAATTCCTTTGGCTGCCGCCGGCACACTTTCGATTCAATACCGCTACGATTTCGTGCGGCGTGCTGCTAAGCGACGCCGGTCATTGTGGAGAATTCTTGCAGATGCGATTGCCAGTTTTTCAAAGGCATTCGGTACGAACGGTGTGCTCCAATCAATTAAGCTATTTACCGTTAGCGGTGCGTGTTTGCTAAATACCCAAAAAAAATTTGTATAAATAAATAAATATACATACATACATATCATTTCTGAGGACATAAAAAAAAATTTAAATTAATTTAAATATAGTGCTATTGTTTGTTAATCTTCAAAAAAGCGTATCTAGTGTTAAGCATTTTTTAAGAATAAGCAAACAAAAAATTTAAATTTCAATCCAAAAACTCAGCTTTTGATCCACAAATTTCATAACTTTTTTATACTTATTTTTCACACACATATCGTACAGCTTTAAAAATCAATCAGCAACAAAAACCAAAACAACAACAGCAACAACATGAATGAAGCCAAGAGTTTGTTCACCACTTTCCTCATCCTGGTCTTCCTGTTGGGCCTGCTGTGGGCCTTCTATGAAGCCGTTTTCTAAATCAACAACGAGTTATTATTAACAACAACAATAATAACAGCATCTAGACATGATTTTCATATAATTAATATTTTTGTCACAAGCCGCACCTAAAACAAACACATACATACATACAAACATATCCTGTGTATGTTGGGTACGACATTTTCGTTAGTTTTTTTTATTTAACACCATCAAATTCATGGAAAATAGTTTGGAAATAAACAATTAACGGTATCACATCGTGTAATCTGGCAATAACAACAACACCATCTTACATAATAGAATTAATAAGCGTAAAAGCATTTCCAAGTAACATTAAAATTCGTAAAATAAGGACAAATGTCAACAAAGAAATGTAGTTCGCTTAGTTAGAAAATGAGGTAAGTCGAATTTACTTATTTTATAAATTAAAAAAAAAAAAATTATTTTACATGTATATTTTTTAAATTTTGATTTTATCACTACTATTAACTTATAACATTTTTTAAAAATAATTTGCTATATTTTATGAAAGCTCCATCTCCATTTCTCACCTCGATCCTAGAGTTATCAAAAGTATTAATATGTTAGAAGTGTATATTTAAGATTTGATCAAATACTCTAAAATTATTCTAACATTGTCTTTTTATACCCTGATTAGGTATATTAACTTTGCCACGATGTTTGTAACACCGAGAAGAAATCATCGGTGTTCATATAAAATTATATATAATTGATCGGCATGATGAGCTGAGTAGATTTAGCCATGTCCGTCTTTCTGAAATTATAACATTTCGATAAGCACTCGAAATCAAAACGAAATTGAGACCGCTTTATTAATAATTCAGTATGCGCAGGAAATGTGCCAAGTTTTCAAAATTTTTTTTTATTGATTTTACAAAAAAAAAAAAAAAAATGTGAGAATCATGAATGTGCACACATTTCATTATTTTGAATATATTTTTAATGCTATGTTTTTCATTCGTTTCAAAAAATCATCAAATTTAATTAGGCGTTTTTTACTTTCGAAATATCCATGCGAACATTGTGTGTATGTATGAGTATGTCTGTTTGTATTTGTATAATTTGGAACCGTGCAAGCGTGCGGCGATTCGTAACACCATTGCAGTGTTGGTTCCATCCGGCTGCCAAAATGCTTTCAACAATATTTTAAAACGTTTTCGATACGAAATTTTGTCAACTTTTTGAGTGATACGTGTGCAGCAAAAGCAGCAGATATACATATATGTACACAATATAGAATAGATAAATACACAAAAATAAATATAGTTTACTTAACGTTATTTATTGCCGATATTTATTTGTATTTGTATGTGTGTATCATATATATAAATCATATTTTTTAGGCACGTAGTATAATGTGCTTCTCCGCTTGACTTTGTCCATTGTCGCATTTTTACGCTTTCGTTGGTTATATTCTTCGTAGAATGTTTGTTGTTCATATGGCATTTAGCGTATTTTTTTTTTTAAGAAAAAAATTAAATAAAATTCATATACATAGTTTGCTTTTCTTTAATTTTTTTTACTTCTAATTTTATTTCATTTTCGTTAGTTTTAGTCAGCTTTTTGTCATTGTTTTTTATTGTTAGCTCGCTATAATATTCCATATGTCATTTGTGCGTATTTTTAGCATTTTTTTATATTTAAAAAACTGACACCAAAATGTTGCGGAGAAGTCGTAAATTTCAGAGGAAAAACAAAGTATTTCGTGGCATAGATTAAAAGAAAATACTTGTTTTTTATTTTTATTTGTTTAATTCGTATGCTAAAAATACAGATTTAGCAGAGTGAAATGTTTAGAAAAATTTTCACTATACTTCTATATGCCATTTTTGTGCGCTTTTTGAAATAAAAGTTGAAAATTTGACAAATCCAGCAGACACCAAATGGTGACAGGCTAATCCGTTACTGAATGCTAAACATTTCAAAGATGAAACATAATTTGTTGTTGGTTAAAAAAATTGAGCTCAAAAAACAGCTGTTAGATTTGAAAAACTTAACAATTTCTTTGTAAAGACAAAGCTTATAAGACAACAGTCAATTAACTGTTTTTTGCAAATAATGGCTCAAGCCAGCAAGCTACTCGCTGCTTTTACATTACCGAATTTGCAACTAGTGTTAGCTGTCATGAAATACGGAAAATTTACAGAAGAGACATCAGCAAGGAGGCCGCTGCTTTTGTATACCAGAATTTCTTTCAATTTTCATAAAATAAAACAAAAGTACGGCAGAGCAGGTCTATGGTCTTACAAAAGTTGTAGTTTCTAATTAATTCTTTGATATTGACCATATTAGTCATGATCTTTACGTGAATTGTGAAGAAAATGACAGCAATAACTTTTGCAAACAACTAACTGTCAAATTTAATAAGTGTCATATATTTTGTAAACAATAAATTCCGTAACGTTGGCAGACAAAATGGCGCTTAAAATCAATGAACTTCGTTTAATATTAGCATGCTACTAGTTTTTATAGCCATTTAATGTACTAGTTTATGTACTTTTTACTTTTCATATTTTACATGCAACATTTATTGGCATTTGGTCTACAGTTTTATTGCAAAAAATATTGCTCAATAAAATAGTTAAGCCAGTAAATTACTTTATTGCACTAAAAAAAGTATTGGAAAATATATTTCATTAAAAAGTAATTACTATGCCAATATTCTGTATTTCAGTATTAAATATTTATGTTAAAATGTATTTATGACGAAATAATGTAAATAAATTATATATACAAATGTTACTGCATATTAATAAACTTTTGACCAAAGCACTTAACACACTTTAGCAGTTTCTCCTTTGACTGCACTTAATTTTAACTTTAATACAAAAATAAAATTGTTTAATTTATTTTTCGGAGATTGGTTCCTTAAACGACAGAATTGTATTGAAAACAATCAAATCTTCCCTCTTTATGATATTAGTATAGATTTAGTGAGTTATATGGGCCGAACGCCCTCCCAACAGCTTTATATTATAATTCTTTTGAGATGCTTTATAATTATAGATACATTTATAATTATATGAGCTTATGATCTCAATACAAATCTAAATTCAGGTCTAAGGTGGATTTTATTAGTAAGTAGCATAGCATGTATTAAAGTTTTTACTTAGACAATTTAGTTCTAGCGCTGTTGTGTAAAGAAAATCTTTCTTAAGGAACTTTGCGATATATAAAGCAATTAATATTTAAAAATTCACTGGAAGCACCAGTTTCTTTTATCCAAAACAAAATCTATAATTTTTGAATTTCCCACACATTGAATCTCATTAAAAGTCGATTTGCCATGCACTCGACTACAAAAGCCTCGAATGCTCGCTATATATATTATATATACATATGTATGTGTATACATACATACGTATATTTAATACATATTTTTGTGCCTAAACCAACCTACAAGTGTATATATTTTGAATAAATTCCATATGTTTTCCATTACAAGGGGCCTAATGGATTTTGGCAATAGCTTTATTTAGGTCATTAATTCGTACAAAATATAATTGGTAGTGGCAGCGGAATAATAAAAAAAAAATATAATTAAAAAACTTAAAATCATTTCGTATATTTAAAAAACTCAGCAAAACATTATTTGGCGCGCTGTCAAGAGCATATAGGACATTTTATGATTTCCAGCTGGTTTTGTAACTATGTGTACATATATATAATATGTATGCCTTATGGATACATTAAAGTTGTAAAATTAATAGCAACTCATCTTTACGTATAAATGTATTTTATTTTACAATTACAGTTTGGAATTTGCTGGTTTCTCGAAGCATTTCCTTTTCAAAAATCTATCATTTACTATTTTTATTTATCTTTTTTTTTGTTGTATTTACTATTGCAAAATGCATTGCTACAATTACCAAACAAATATAATAATTTTGAATTATTCTCCTCTAGATGACGTCAACGCTCGACAAATACCATATGCAAATACCAACGAAACAGCGGCATACTGTGTCGCCACCAAGCCAAAGGTATTTCGGTGAGTTTCCGTACGCAAATAGTTCATTAAGAAATATTTAAATATTTTTGTAAAAATTATTTGCTAAATTACACACAAGTGTGCAGCCACTTTAAAGAAACTAACACACACATATGTATGTATATTTATACAATATATTCATTGTACAAGAATTGTGTAAATACAAAAAATGCATATATCAATTGTTATTATTGGCCACGCCATTAATTGTGTGCCTTTATACTTTCGCAACTAATCAATTTTATTTTTTATATTGTTTATTTTCTGCAATTGTTTATAGTTTTCGTTAACAACTTGTCAAGCATTTTTCTAAAAGCAACTTACATTTTTACAGCATACATATCATCACATACACAGCGCTCTGGCAACTTTGCGCGCTGTGAATAGTTGAAAGGCTCGCAGTTTGTGCTCCGTAAACAATAGCAATTATCAGCTGTCAACGATTCATCAGTTCAACAACCGAAAATAAACTATTTGTCCAGTTGACGTCCAACTCATTCATTCAAAGAAAATTGCGTTTATTTAAAAGTAAAGGAAAAATATGTAAAAATTATCCTAAAACCAAAACAAAAAACCAAAAAAAAAAAGCTTACTAGTGAGCAACAACAAGAATGTTTGGCGCATGTTTAAAACATATTTTTTCTTCTTAGTTGTATAAGGGTATTTGATATAAGCCATAGTTGTAGCGACTTTATAATATTATAAAATATTTATCAAACAGCAGCAGGCAGGAACGAAATTAAAAAAAATGGGTATTTATGGAACGTTAAAGAATATAAGATCTTATTATTCTAATGTAATGTAAAAAATAAAAAATAAAGTACAGAAAAACATCACAAAAATGCATTTATATGTTTTATTTTATTTTAAAAAAAATATTAAATTACTCTTACCCCAGTTAAAATTTTTTTTTTAAAGATTATAATTATTTATATTTTTTATTATGAGTGAGTGGTTAAGAAATATATTATGACAAATAAACTTAAAAAATATAAAAAAACTATTCTGAAGCACAAAAAATAATGTTTCGTTAAAAAATTAAATACGGCATGCAAACTAAAACTTGTTCTAGTTCTTGTGGTTAAAGGTATGCAACAAACGAAGAGTACAAAATTCAGTCCATTAATTTCCATTCCGTTTTTGAAGTGAAATAGGACGGAAAATTTTTTTTTATATTTTTTTTGTAGTGCTCGGAAAATATATAAACAAATATATATAATCATTTTATGAATACTCTAAAGAAATATAAAAACTTTCTTTCCGTCTAATTTTCTTTCAAAAATTTGAAAGGGTTAAAATTGTATCGTTGCCATTTGTTTTAAAAATTTTAAGAAAAAAATATAGATAAAGAAATACGATAATATAAATATCAAAGTTATAAAGAAGTTTAAGAAAGCTAACAGCTGAATTTTTTTTTGGATTGCTACTGGTTTTTGAGTTTAAATGTTTTAGTTTATTGTGCAATGGGTATAAAAATAATAAGGCTCAACAATTGTTTTTGCTTGAAAATATTTAACAACACTGCCACATATTTTTATTTATAACCTGAACAGGGTATATTAACTTTCCCTTTCATTTGAAGTTTGTAATACCCAGAAGTTAATGTCGCAGACCCTATGAAATACGTATATAAATGATCACAGAGATCAGCTGGCTGTATGTAGTCGAACTAGTCCCGCAGTTTTTGATATCTATCTGACATTTTCACAGTTTTGTTTTCTATTGTATAAGAAGCTTCTTTCTACGAGAACTAGTCCCTTAGTTTTTGAGATATCGATGTGAAATTTAGAAATAGGATATAGCTACCATTGACCGACCATAATCAAGTCCTTGTATGGAAAACTTTTGTATTTGAAAAATTATCTTCACGAAATTTGGCACAGATTATTTTGCAAGGCAACGGTACAATCTTCTAACATATTGTTCAGAACGGACCATTATAGCATATGGCGAGAGTATCAAGACAATAGTGAATAACAAGTTGCCTATATTTAAGCGCTGTGATTGAAGGCATCTTTGCGTAAAAAATTATATTTTAGATGTACAGTTAATATGAATTTTTGGAATACAAATTCACAAATTATTTTTTAATATAAACATAATTAGAATAAATTTTTAAATTATGGAAGACTAATTTATATTCATATGTATGTATGTATATCTGCAAGATCGCCAAAAGTTCGCATCCATTGGCTCCGTCCGTGCATAAAAAGCGCTTGCAACACGAGATGATACGTGCAGCACTAATTATACATATGTATATACCACTATATGCATTTAAGAGCACATCACATATCAAAATACATAATTATCTTAAGAGAAGGCCACATTTGATTAAACAGTTGATAATCATCCAACCGAGAAAATACTTACGTCATTTAAAGGCAACAATGTATGATATGGAAAAAAGAAACACTTGACATTAAATCTCTTAAACCGTAACAGAAGTTGAACTTCAGTGCTTAATTAAGCTTGACAACATTGAAGCAAAAATATACATATATGTATATATATTAGTATACCATATATTTTCTTATGTGTGTGCACGTTTATGAAGGTAAAGATGTTGAAAAAACGATAAAAATGTAAATATAGTGTAAACTGGGTGTTTCCTTGAAGGCAAGTTTTATTATACACTTGCAGGAACATAGTATATAAATACATACTTAAGTACTTACTACTGCGAAGGTTACTAAAAGTCTTATTGAAGCTGCGTACTTTTATGTCAAATTTCAAGTTGCGTTTTCGCTGGTTGGTAGCTTTGGCGAAATTTTGTGAGGGAGTTTTTTATCGAGAATTCTTAATCAACTCTAGTTTTAGGCTAGCTTGTTAAACCTCGCTCGATACTCGCTGGAAGCTAAAAGGTACTTTAATCTCGGGGTTAACGCAATCTGGGTTGTTGAGTGTCTCGATGTTCCCATGCGACTTATTGTTGAACTGAACGACACAATTTTGTCGTAAGCTTAGCGAGAGGTAAACTACCTGTACTTGCACGGTTGGGAGGTTTTTCTTATCTAGCTTGATTCGCATGAGGTTTCGTGAGATCTTGGATCTCTAAAAGTTTCGTCCCACTCTAGTTGTAGAAATTTTGTTTGGCCAGTCTCTGATTGGTATTTTTGCTGCAAGACTAAAAGTCTTGCCAGATTTCAAATGGCGAAATTGCTGAAATATGTGGAAGGAGCATCATCTCAGCACTTCCTTGTGGACTATCCCGCTTTTGTGAAACCCTGACGGAAACACCTGGACTCCTACTCGCTTAGTCACCCAGGTGAATAATGTGGAATCAAAAAACAATCAGATTAGCAAATTTGTGACGGGCAAGATGGTTCGCCGATATATGATGGTTTAAAGCAACGTCAGTTCGGTTACCGAATTTATTATTGCCTGAATTTGAGGGTAAATTCACTCCTTTTGTTAGTGCTTCACCCTTAGCACGATACTGTGACTGATTATTTACTAACCCAAAAAAATACAGATACCCCATAGGATGGAGACTCACAACTAAATATTTTAATTAAAATAATTTAAAAATGTTAGTTAGAATTGCAAAATCTTGTAATAAAAAAGAAAAAGAAATTAAAATTGTAGGAAATACCATAATATAACTTGAAGGTTGCCAGAAAATACATTAATTAAATAAAAATTATTTTATTTGCACTTTATATATTAAATTTCGGGCTTTTTGCTATGCAGATACCTTTGTGCATACAAACACATATACAAATATGCATGTGCTTGCAACGCCGTGAACATGGCGAACCCAATGACGTATGAATTTATGATTTATAAATTCGCAACAGATCCACAGATATGCAACTAACCCCATTAACGATTTCCACGCTTTGATGTAGGAACCTCAAAAGAAGAAAAAATGAAACATTTATATATTTACTTACAACATCGCGCACATGGCATTGTAACCCAGTGAGTTTGTGTATAAATTCAGCGCTGAAGATTACGCAATTTCCAACGGGCATTGTAACAGTGTTTGCAGTTAATGCGAAACTGGCAGTGAAACAAAACCTTATATTACCGACTCGTAAACGTTGCGGTTTAGTCAACCGATAACCGATGGAGGTCTCGCAAAAAGTGCGCGCGCAGATTGTAAACGTAATTGAATGTAAAAATGCACATATAAATTTTTAAAGTCTACAAGTTTACAACTTACATAATCAGCGAGCGAGCATTGCATTTTACTACACACACAAATGCAGTTTGCACATTCGCAATCAATTCCGCAATGCGTCGGTCACTTGGCCAATTCCGCTGTCAACCGGTTTGTTGTCTTTTCCGTTGTCCGGTAATGCCGAAACAAAAGCAAAAAGTCGCAAACATAAATAACGAGAAAAAAAACGAAATTCTTTGTATTATGTAATTTTTGGACTCTACAGGTTTTCAGTGGTCTGGGCGTGTGGCAATGCAACGTCAGCAGAACAAAAATCTAGTATCTACTAAATGCTGGTTATGGCTTGTTGCACGAACAAATTGCTTGGTATGTAATTAAAGTCTGTATGTTGTGCATAAAACCGCCCCGGCTAGAACTTGCATAAGCAGGAAGTTTTTTGGTGATTTTACGGAGCGGCTGAAATTCTTATTTGGCTGTGTGTATGGGTACTATTAGAAATGTGTCTATCGACAGCGTGAAGCATAATTATATTTACATTATCAAAAATATAAATAAAAAACACGATAGATGAGCTGAAAACAATTTATTTATTATGAAAGTAAGAAAGAGTAATTTTTTAAACTCACATCAACCACAACCAATATCTTATTATTTTACCACTGTTCTGCGAGCGGACGGTAAAAATTATCCCAACTTTGGCTTGACAGATGCTTCATAAAAATTTCGCAGCTTCTTCTTCCTTCCTTCAAAAAGCAGTGAATATCCGCATGAACTCCGAGGTGGCCAGTCAATTTCAATCTTCGCTATGCTCTAATCAAATAATCGCTGTTTCAAGAGCACCAACGTAAGCGGAGTACTCTTTTTGTTCAGCTCCAAGACGTCTTATGGGAATTCTAGTAATCTCTGCTACATTAGATATATGAGATATAGAATTTATATTAACGACAATTGTTGAAAATCCTGAACTTTTTTTTCCAATTCATCAAATTGAATATGTTGAACGATGTACCAGAATCCGAACATTCGCTTTACAGAAGCTGGAAACATTGTGGACATATTCAGATTAACAGATATCTTAGATACCAGATTATTTTGCGCTTTTACTTGGTTTTTCCAGCTGTGGCACTAATGTATGTAAAGCTTATGCTATTCACTAAGCTGTCGTAGGCCGCTCCTTACTTCTTTTTAGTGATTACGTCAAACTGATTCGCTGGCTTAGATTCTGTGTGATAGCCATGATGCTCTACGCTTGTTATCCAGGAATAGAATTTTTGCAATAACAACACAAGTTTTCAAATGTTTAAGGTTTCCATTTAGCTTTTTACAAAAATTTATGATTTAAACCTTAACTAAAACTCATTGATCCAAACGGGATAAGATTGCCGAAATAACAACACTTGTCCGGGTAAAATCCGGGTCATTTCCGGTAACGTAGAACCGGCTGTTGTGGGAATTGAATGATTTAAAGCTCTTATATTTTGCTTTCGAAGCATGTATCGCATTGCATCATCGCTACACGAGAGACAAATCGTTCTGGCAAAGCTAAGATAGGGGAAAACTTATGTGTGTGCGTATAATTCCAGTTATAATGGTGTTCCTCTTGATAAAAGTTATAGTAGAGATACTTTCAAGACTTTTCTGTGGTAATTTTGTGAATTGTTTTTTTCCCTTCTTCATCATTTTGCTATCATTAGCGATATTCGTTTAATTTTCCTATCAAAGGGAGTCCCTAGAGGTTAATCGTTGTAACATTTTCCGTTATACAGCAAATTTATGCAACTAGTGAAATTTCTGGTCCGTTAAACTCTGCAGTGGCAACTCCATTCAACCAAACTAGCACTGGCCGGGAATGTTATTTTCATCAAATTTTCGTCACATCGCTTAATAACTAATGAAGATTGCCACATACTATACTTTTAAGAAACTTAATAAAGTTTTAAATTTTTAAAATAAAATTTTATTAATAACTTCAAAAAAACCAAAAATTAATAAATTAATTTTTCAGGTTATCTCTACATAGACCAAAGATGAATGCTTAACGCAATATGTGGATGTATATACAATACATGAGTAAGTGAATGATAGTGAAAATTTCGAAAATTATAGAAATTAAAAAATTTTGTTTCAGTCTTTCACACCTTTTTCCCATGGGTCCTCAGGTACTCTAGACGCAACTGTCGTGTCATCACATGAGCAATACGTATGCGCAGCCACTCTGGACTCAGTTTCATGAAAAAATACTGAAGCATAATAATTTACGCCAATTAGAAAGCGCACATAGAATCAAAATATTATATTGGTATAAGTGTATACATAGGTATATATATATAGCTTGTTTTTGTTGTTAAAAATTTTAGTTCGAAAATGTTCCAAACTTTTTGTATTTCATGTCTGATATGTTTTGTATACTTGTATTTAGTAGAAAAAATCGTTTCAAAATCACTTACCTGCAGGCCATGTGTCCAATATCCCGTCGTCTCTGCCGATTTGCCTAAAGTAAAAACAGCTGAGCGCGTAAAGCTCTTAACATCCGGTATTAGAAATCCACCTTTCATAACTGTATCCGAATATTGATTCATTTTTGTAACCAAAAAGAGCGGTGTGACACACTGTACTGTTATATTATGTTCGGCCAATTCACGCTCGACCGCTTGAGAGAAACATCTCACATAGCGCTTGGTAGCGGCATAAACCGCCATATAGGGTATAGGCTGCAATTCACTGCCAGATGATATATTGACAATAGCACCACGTTTCTGCTTCTTCAGTTCTGGTATGAGCATCCGCGACATTATGGTTACAGCGGCGACATTTATATTGATCAGATCCCAAATAGTATCTTCGGGTATTTTTGAGAGCTCATCGGGGTAGTCGTACATTTTGCCAACATTGTTAACTGTAAATCGATGTGAGGGGGTTTCAAGTAATATACAATTTTTGAGTAAAAATAATAGATGTGGGGAGTTGCAAGTAATATACAATTTTAAGTAAAAATTCTATTTCTGTCAAGGATCAGCCGTTCCTTTTGTAGCACCGATTTTGGGATAATAATCATAGTTGCAACACTTACCCAATATGCCTACTGGTATGCCACTCAGCTCCCGTTCAATGTGTGCATACACCTCACGCCCCTTGGCGAAGTCTGCAACGATCCATTTTGTCTTCACTTTGTACTCATTTTCTGTAAAAAATAATATATTTTTTAAAATTCTGTATAAATTTTTATAATTTTTAAATCAAGTTAGATAGAGATTAAATATTTTTTGTATAGAATTTTATCATCAAAGAATATTAAATATCAACTACAATAAAATGTCATTTGGTAACCTTTGTTTTCGTTCCTCGATTTGCTTATAAATGACTTGCATTGTGTCTTCGAGTATTCGCTATTAACACAACTTATTTCGAATTTTTTTTAAGTATTTCAATATTTTAGTATATTGACAATTATTGCACTATTCAGTAATTTGCTTACCGATCTCCTCTGCTACCGCTATGAGCTTCTCCTTGGTACGCGAGATGAGCACCACATTTATGCCTTGTTTGGCTAATTCTTTAGCATATTCCCGTCCAATGCCATCCGTTGAACCGGTGATTACTGAAAAGTTGAAAAAAATTGGTGTGTTGTAAGTAAATTGAACACAAAGAAAAATGGTGGTTAAAGCTTATGATTGTCATTAACAGCTAAATGCTAATTGTTCTTTTTTGTGGGTTGGCTAATGGTGCCAGCATTATATTCTAAAACGATATGTATTCAAGTAATGTGCGTATTTGCTACTCTGTTTGAGCATGTTATGGGGAAATATGGGTTTTTATATACTAACTACATAACTCATTAATTTGTTGTAAACATAGCGTAAATATACTTTAAACAATTTAGATACAAACATTTGAGAAAACTTATGATCTTGAAAATTTAAAAAAAAATATTTTTTTTTTAATGCTTAGTGTATATTATTTTTTGATTTGCTGTGATCAGAGTTCGTTTCCGTGACAAACCTCGCTTCGCTTACTGGAAATAGGAAGGATTCCTCTATTATTTAATGTGGCTTCAAACCATTTGCCGTTTATTGACTGGTTCATTTAACTTTACACTTAAAGGCAATCGCTAATCAACATTCAAGCAAAGTTTAAATATTTGTGGTAAATAAGATACACAAAAAGTTGCTCGGGCGACGATTTTTACAAAGAAAAAATTAAAAAAAAAAATATATATAAAAATATTATAAAATTTTTTAGTTTTCACTGGAATAATCGTTAAGAAGCCATGAAAAAATCTTTAGCGTAAACTGTTTTATAGATAATATAAGTGTTTGGGGTTTAAATCCCTCGATATCGTGGAGGAAAATGTGCCCGTGTCTAATGTTAGAGCTTTTAAAATTTCTTATAAATTTATTCCGCCTTTTTCAGTTCATTTCTTTTATGGGTAAGAAGCATCTCATAATGGATCTTTACGTCGCTCGAAGTCTTAAAAAGTGTATGAAAAATTTTTTAAGATGTTGTTTTTATGCAATTAAGTAAAATTTAACTGAGTCTGACTCAAATTTATTAAGACGTATGGCAGTAGAAAAATTGTTGGTGGTATTGACAGTGCGATTTTTTATTCGGTGAGAAAAATTCCGGCGATAGAAGAGTACGACAGATGCTTTAGGCTTGTGAAAATCAGAAATTTGAGATCAGAGACCTTAAGATTGGTATATTTATTCAAATATTTAGGCGCGCCAATTATTAGTAGCTCCGTATTTTGCGAGCAATAATATTACTAGTACTCGTAGAGAAATATGAAGTTTAAGAGTATGTGAGAGATTATTTGTAAATCTATTCTTCCTTTTGTCCTCTAAAGCCATAAATGATATTGACCAAGGTCATAATTCACCGCAATCAAAACCAGTAAATAACATTTAACCTTAAACTAACTACTCAACTTGTAAATCTCCAAAATCCAACTGCACTTCAGTATAATACTATATACTGAGTATATTACATTAATAAATAAATATTTCGCAAGGTCGTCAAGCGAATCAAAAATATATAAGTATATACCTTATAAAAAACAGTGTGAAAAATAGTTGGGCTTTTTACAACAAACGAAACAAATGGCAATAAACCTAAAACATGTGATACTCGAGCGACTGAAGTTAATTAATAAAACAATAACAAAAGCTAGACGCTTTGATATGAAAAAAATAAGACTTGAGCAAAACAAAAATGACTAGATATTTTAATAACTGGCCGTGCTGACGGAACAGCTGACAATCACAACGAGCCGGCTAGACAATCTAAGTCAAGCCGGTTCCGTGTGCTGCAATTTGTGAGTAATATGACGCCGTTACCAGGTGAATGACTGCAAATATAGCAACAACAAGTGAAGTATGCAATAACAAATAATACAAAAAAATACGAAATCAGTAGAATTCCATATCGCTTTTAAAGACAAGTAGACACGATAGCCACGCAACAAGACTATAATTATAACTATGTATAAATGCAATATATAAGCAATTTGAGCCCAATAGGAATTGAATTTTCTTTCATTTAAAAAAATATCTCTTTGATAAAAAAGGGTTTGGCTGAATTTAAGATTTATTGTATTTATCTAGTGTATAGTTTAAGAAGTTTTTGTCCTTTGAGGGATTACATAAGTTTCACTGCTTCAAACAAATTTTTTATTCTCTTATTTAATTCTATAACATCTCTAGAATATTGTTTTAAATTCTTAAGTTGATCATAGTAATAATTTTGGAGGTACAGCTTTGGAAAGTTGCGCGCTCGAGATTAGCTATATATTCACTTAAAACTTTAAACGCGTTTTTCTCGAAACTGTTTTCAAAGTTGTTTGACAAGATTTCTCACGAACTATTCAACCGATCTTATGAAATTTTACACAAGTCTTTGAGATATAATTTACAAGGTCTTGCCGCAAAGGACTTTTTTTGTTCAGTCACAACTATTTAAAAAATAAAAACGTCGAGAAATTTTCACCAAAATTTGCATGTTTTTGTAAAAACGTCTACCAAAAGTACAATTTTCACTTAATTTGTTTTTCTCCCTCCAATACCTAGTTAATGGTCTTAGTTCAAACACGTATGTTTTTCTTTTTACTTTTGATGATCCTGTCAGAAGTTCTGCTGTCAACGCGGAAGCACCTTATTGCTGAGGGACTGCCGGAAATGACGTCGTAATGACCGAGTTTTGAATATTTTACTTTGAAAATTTCATAAAATCTTAATAATATGTGTGTCTTTGGAATGATAAAAGGTTTGAATAAAATATTTCATGTTTTATATGAAAAAAAAAGTTTTTGAAAATATTGCGTTTTTTGCTCGACGAAACCCATGTAACCCCTTAAATGACAAGCTTTTTACAGAATAATTATAAAAAAAATTGAAAACGTCAAGTTTCCGATATTTTCATTATAAGAATACCGTTAAATATAAGTGTAGATTCAACTTTGAGTACAACAATTTTATAATGATTTTATATTTTTTCTTATTTGCTTAAAAAAGAAAAGGCCATAAATTGCCTTATTCAAAAAAAAAAAAAACAAAGAATACAAATTCTCTTTTGACACAGTACATAATATGTTAAAATTTGTTTAAACAAAAAAATTATCAAATTTTTAACAAAATTTTAGTTTTCATTAATTTATTTTAAAATATAAAATATTTTATTTTAAATTTTTTGGTTATTTTGAAAATTTTGATATTAAATAAATTTTTCTGACAGGGTATTAAATAAAAAAAATCAAAAGCGAAAGTGCTAATGGATGTTTGCGTGAGCTAATGCTGTTGCCATTTAATTTGTTGTACAAACGTGCATTCAGTTAAGAAGTTTGCAGTAAAATGTTGTTTAGCAATTCATTCATAAATTCAGCTGTTGAAATGCTGATGAATCAGAATCCCTAAAAATTATAAGTAATTGTCGATTATAGTTTATGGCTTCGTGGTTTTTACACTTCTTTTGCTGTTTGCTTTCTTCCCTTTTTTAGCCTTTGCAACGAATTTCGTATATGATTTCAATAGTTATTTGGGCCACTGATTGAGACATTCATGGCGAACGTTTCTCGTTTTTGTAAGTTTTGAATTATTACAATTTTTTTTTTACTGTATTCTTGAGTTTTGTTTTGGAATGGTCTTTAGCATTGTTTTGTTGCGCTTTTTACCAAATAAAATACTTTTATTAAGACGAGCAACCAGCAAACCATTTAAAGGGAACGCTGCTTACTTGTGAGACCCGTTTGAGTTTTCAAGGGCGCTTAACTATTAGTAAGCCGTTTTCTTTGCTGTTTTTCGCGCTAGAGAGTAATCTGGGAAATTATAATTTTTTTGGAAAAGATTTCAAAGTTATCGATAAATATCAATACTTTCAGACATTAAAAACTATCGACAAACCATTTTATAGGGTTATAATTTTAAATATAAACACAATGAAGGAAATGACCGAAATATATATGTATATATATATATATATATATATATGGTATGTAAATGATCAGCGTTATGAGCTGAGTCGACTTAGCCATGTCCCTTTGTGCGTCCGTCTGTTCCTCAGTTTTTGTGTTATCGACTTTGCACGCGTCCTTTCCTTCCCAAGAATTTGCTCATTCAGTCAAAACCATCGATATCGCACCACTACAGGATATACATAGCTGTCTTATAAGCTGATCGATCAAAATTAATTTCTTGTATGAAATTCTTTTTTATTTGACAAGATATCTTCACGATATTTGGCATGGATTATTGCCCAAGACAGCGCTATAATCTTCGGAAATAGGGATCAAATCTGATCATTATAGCATATAGCTGCTATACAAAATCAAAATCCTAAAGAGCGTTGTATAAATTGCACTAACATATGTATTCATGTAAGTCTAACAACCATTCATAAACTAAATACAAAACAAATAAATAACAATGACTAACCTGCCCACTTTCCAAACTTCTCCAACAGTGTCTGCGGTAGTTGAGGCTGAAAATATGGCTCCAGAATCGCCTTTACGATCAACACCACCGATTTGAAGTTATCAAAGAAGAATATGGCGATGGCCAGGAGGCCCACCAAATAGACACCGAACGACAGTAGTTGCCAAACGAACGCCATTCTCAGCAATGTGTAAATGCTCACTTCATCGAGGGGGATCATGTTGAGTATTTTTTTGTGTTTGATTGTTTACTTTAATTTATTTTCAAAATGTACTCAATGATTTTAATAATAAACGCATATGGAGCAAAGAATAGGCAGTGATAAGCGAAAGGCCACTAAAGCCAGATAAGAAAATTCAACGCACACTCATAAAGGCCTGTATGGATGTAGCAATGTTTATAAATGACAACAACTACTTCACTCTAAAAATAAATTCCAACACTGCACACTCTCTTGCAATTCACTCAATTAATTGAAAGACTTTCTCACTTGCAATTCGCGCCTCCGTTATTCTTTAGTATTGTTGTTGTTGCGCTTTAATTCAATCAATTCAGCATTTTTTCTTATTTTGTTTTTTTGTGCTATTTCGTTTTGCACCCAAAAAGTCCAAATTATTTGCAATGGAAATTTCAATGAAATTCGAAAACTTTTCTGCTACTTTTTTTCTCTTTTATTCTAATGCGCATTTATTTACATTTTCAAAATTTCCGAATTAACAGTGTAAAGTACACTCTCACTAAAGTTGATTGAAATTTTAGTTGAAGCACTAAGTGTGGCTTTGCTTGTTTTTTGGACAGCTTGAGCTGTGTGAACTGCACGTTTGGCCGTCGAGTAGGCGACTGATCGGCAAGCGTCAAGTTGCAGCCGAAAAAATATACAACTTGTTGCGCTAAAGTGACTGGCTACAATCGTAGTTTTGCTGCCTGGTTGTAAAGCTAAAAAGGGCAGCCAAAGCGGCGCTCACCAACTAACCAAGCCGAGCCATTGATGACAGACTGCTGCTCAGCTTGGCAATTGCGCTTTGCTTTGGCTCAAGCTCAGCTGGGAATGCAGCAGATGCTGCGCTGGCGCATGCAACATCTTGTGTTGTACTCACATGAGATTGTTTCTGCTGACAAGCTGTGCTTACATACATAAGTATGTATTATATATAGGCAAGTATATGTGGGCTGGAGTTAAGGCAATAGTTTGTTACGTTTTTTATCTTTCCATTTTTGCTTGTAAACTTTGACTTCAAGTGATATAGTGTTGTTGTTGAACGATTGTGTTTAATGCACGATTGTTTGATTGTTTTTGTTTTTATTACAAGCTTTTACATTCACATATAAAGATAACGGTTATAATGGGAAATATCAATAACTATTTAATTTGGGAATGGGTTTGGGAAATATTTTACTTTCGATATTATATTTGATGAAATCCGAAGCCTTTGCAAATAAATAGTAAGTAAGAGTGTCAGACTTTTCGCATAGTTGTTTATCGATAACTATTCTAACTGAATATGTAGATTTCAGTGCTTCAAATTCTGAATTCCACCGGTCAATTTTGATTTTGCTTTTAATTTTTTCGAAAGAGCAGAATTCGAACAAAGGTAATAAAAAAAGGCAAATCAAATTAAGTTGCGAAGTGGTTTGGATCTTTCATTTTTATTATCAAAGTTTTTGAGCTGAGAGCACTAGTTTCATAGATTTCAACAGATCTTTTCTAATTTTTTGGACAATATCGACTCAAATCGCTAAAAGTCATTAATACGATGGATACAGTGGTATCTCTGGTATAAAAAACCTTTACCCAAAGCATCCATTTGTTTGACTGGTTGAGGTTAGGTGTTTTGAATAATCTCTTCTCTATGATTAGAGCTGCACTGAGGTCAAAACAAGCTTATTGGTGTTTTATGTGAAGGTTGATAAGTGCTTAGCATATACTGATTATTTCAGGGATATTTTTCATAGAGCAGATTTATGTTAGACTTCAATTAGTTGTTTCAGCGCCCCAGAGATGACTTTCGTAGTACCAAAAATTTTTAGTTACTACTTAGACTTCATAAAAAATAATAAATGTTTTAAAACGGGCTTGCTTAGTGGCATAAAATGTTTTCTTGAATTAATACTATAGATACTTACAGATTTTACATACATACTTCGTATGCATATTGTTAACAATGACTCTTAATGACTTTTGGTCATATCGGTTTGTATGCAATATTGCGGGTAAATAATTTTTTTAACAAATACTTTCATAAACAAAAGTGTTTGTAATGGTAAATAGTAGAGAAGGCAACAAGTCACCAACAAATAAATGCGTTAATTTTTGAAGTGGAGATTTAACAAAAAAAAAAAAATCATCGATTACATTACACTTTTTTGTTTTTTTTTCACTTTGAAGCACAGTTGCTTACAAAAACAGATTTATACATACATACAAAAGCGCATTCAATGGGCGAAACTAGTTTGCTAGTAGAGGCGTTGAACACCTTTATGCTACATCTGAGTAAATAGACTACTGTTGAAGTTTCCAATCTGCAGCATGACCTTTTAACCGATGCGCTTGCATACACACATATGTATTAAATAACACACATACGCATATCTACACATATCAGGTGCATATAACATTTGGTGGCCACGAATGTAATGTTTAAGTTTTCAATTTTCATTTATACAAAAAATTGATGTGCCCATTTCAAGCTTTGCTGTAAAAAAACAATTTTGAAGTTTTTATTTTTTGATGAAGCTACCTTTTTTATTAGAGAGAGATTAAAAAATACTTGTGTATTTGTCATGTGATTCGACTTCTTAGACAAGTTTTTAGTGAGGGCGAGTGAAGTTTATAGTTTATGTTGAGCATAAGCCAGTTGGGACAACTCTCCATATTATTAATGTTAATGAAAACAGATACTTCCTTAAAAAGTTGTTAAAGATATTTAGAAAAATTTTTTATTATTAATTTTTCTTGCAAAATCTTTTAACATCATTACACACTTATTCTAAAGCCAGGTCCTCTAGGAGTTTCGTGGTCTACATTTAGGCTGTAAGTTCTATATTATCGCAGCTACACACCTCTTGTCGCGTTTTGGTTGTGGGTTCCATACAAATGATTTTAATTTTTTTGTGCAAGATGTTTGGGATTCAAAATTTAAAATTGAAAAAATTTTTTTTTGATTCGGTTGAGGCAAAAAATGTTAGTTCTAAAGTAAACCCTATTTTTAGTTCTTAACTACATATATGCATGAGAGTAAAATTTGTCATTTAATTTTTCAATCCAGTAGTTGGTTTTTGGTATTAAAAATTTTTTTTTTGTAATCCAGTATGCGGGACTAAAATATTTTTTTTAATCCCGTATTTGGGATTACAAAATGAAAAAAAAATTTAATTCAAATCTTTACGCAATTATTTTTTGCAACCCTGATTCATACTTTTTAATTTTGAACATTTTTTTGGTATAATGTTTTGGATGTTAAAATTGACGAACGAAGCTTTTTTTGGGTTTTACGGAAATGTGCAAACATTAATCTGTATTTGTTATCGTATACTTAATAATCGTCGTATATTATTGCTATTTTATTTTAGTTAAGTAAAACTAAATATGTAAAACAAAATACAGCGTGGGCGTTTAGTTTATAGACTATTGATCATATTTGTATGAAATATAAAAATATTTGCAAAAAATACTAAGCATATGCGTTCATGAAGGTTAATTTGTCATTTTCTTAAAATGAATTTAAAGTATATTGTTATATAAGAATGTAGAAAATTATAGTTTTTTTCGATAATATGCACAGAAAACCATATTTTTGCACATTTTGAATTGATTCACTGAGAACAGTAGACGTTATGTGATATTTACATAATATTTTTCAAATAAATCAGACTGGTGCTTTTAAAAAATATTCATCAACAGATATTAAATGAGGGAAATGGTTCAAATCTTTACGTCACTTCGATCACAAAAAATTTAAAAAAAATTCGATCACAGCTCTGCATGCTGCTCTTTATGAACAATAATATAAACATATTTTCAAATATTGTATGCCTTTTATTCATAGTATTGAAGTTCGAGAGGATATGATTTGCTTTTTGTAGAGTATTGAATTTTCAGCACCATATCGTCCCGGTTATTGTAAAAAATTAAAATTGTTCAAACAAATTAAAAAATAATTGATTTTGGTGTATTGAAAAAATACCATATATTATTTGATAATTATCAATAATTCCGAATTCCTTTTACTGATAATCGATTTAATTTTGTTTTATTCATGCGTACTCTTATTCAGTCCATTTACGATTTTTGCTCTTAAAACTATGCTCAACACATTTCTAGTGCTTGCGAGAAGAGTGGTTAAATCTGCCTATTCGGATTATGGATATCGGCTGCGGCATGACAGCTACTTCAAAGTGTTATTTAAATGCTCAGAGAACAACAAGAAAACTGAACAAAAGCTCGCGTAAAAATAAAATATAATTAATGAATGTCGACGAAGGTATTGCAGCAACGAGTCAGACATTATGTTGAGCAATTGACATAAAAACGAATTTTTGCAGCAAAAAACACTTAATAAATACTTAGTACTTCAACTTCTTTGCTAAAAACATAAAAAGTAATAATAAAAAATATTATATTTTTTGTGTCAATTGCTAACAACAATAACATACAAGAAATGTTTGTCTAAAAGTGCCAGCTTATGGCAAATATACATACATACAAACATTAAGCAACTAACATGCAGACATTTTTCTGCATTTTAGTAATTTTGTGATCATAAAAATTTTGAAGTCATATTTACAAGTGCTTATGCAGATTTTCCTAATCGCAAATGGCGCAAAATAGCTTTATGCTGCCATAAAAATTTTAGAATTATGAAATAATTAAGCATTTACATTAATTGAAACAATATGTGCGCCGAAATGTATATAACAGAATTAGATTTAACCCAAAAACGACCAAGAAGTAATGAATTGTTTTATTGGTCATACACACACACACACACCCACAACGACGAGGTCACATGACAAACGAGTGAACGCAGTAAAAATTATCAAAATTATTATGATATGAGCAGCTATTACTGCACTGCAAGTATAGCAAGTAAAACATTTTAAGCAAAAAAAAAAAAAAATTATGAAAAAAATTTATTATTTATTGTTCGCCACCTTTTTGCTTTTTCTGCAACGACTACGCGCACTGTTGTTGCAGTTGTAATGTAGGTACACACAATAAAGTAATTAATTATTTGTTTGCCACAATATGCTGAATGACTGTGAAAATGTCGTTTACGCCGTCAGCAGCACCTTTATAGGGTCTAAGCGGCAGCGGCTTTGTAGCTCTTAGTGGCATTGTAGGCATTTCCATTACTTTACTGTTAATACATAAAATTGTTGTTGTTGTTTTATTGTTGTGCTAAGGCGATTGCAGCTGACTCTTTTTTCGGTTTTGTACGCTGTCGACATCACAAGGCTACCATTTGCGGCTTTATAGCGCATGCCCGAATACTGTCAATGCAAAGACAGGGAAGTTTACGTTAATTACATACGATTACTCATTCGTTCGTAGTGGCGAGGTAAATGACAAAATATAAACACGTACGTTTTGTAGATTTCATGCGTGTTTGATTATACAGTTATCAGTTGAGCGCGATATTTGCAAGCAAATTCTAAGTATTTTGCAAATACGTGCGTACGATGCTAATGGTCTTAGAAATACATACCTATATGTATATGTAATTTATATTATATTTATATACATAAGTGCATATGTATGCATATTAATTGCAAAAATTGCGATTTTTTACTTCTTGGAAGTAAACTGGCATTTAATTGTCATCGCATGTGCGAATTATATAATATCCTTATACAATTAAATCCATTTTATTACAATCGCTTTGAAACACCTGTGTTCTGTTGACGAGTGCTAATTTTTGGTTTTTTTTGTTTTGACAGTTCGTGCCTGCATGTTGAGAACTGTCTTAAACTGACAGGCGTTTGTGCCACAAGAGAACATTTTGCGGAAAAACACTTTTGGTTTTTAATAAGCAACTTGTTTACAGATCTTGATCTCTGCGTGTTTAAATTAAAATAAATATTGTAGTATACACTATATACATATATATGTGTATGAATGCATGTGTTCGTAGATTTAATTTTTTTATTTTCCAAATTTGCATAATTTATAATTTGGCATTTGCCACATTGTTGTAAAATTTAATACAGATGACAGAAACTGTTTTGAAAGAGACACAAAATTTTTGTTTTTTTCTTTCATAATTAAATTATATTTAATTCAGCAAAAAACTGACTGATTCTTTTGAATTGCAACCTCAAAATCTTATCACTGAAATTTGTAACCCGAAAAATTTTATCGACATAGCTTTTTCGTGAAATCTTCAAACATTTCACACCATATACTCATCTCTGGTTCATGAGTTACTGTTGAATACTTTACTTAAAAACATGAAAAAAATCGGTTGCCTGAAGTTAAAATACTTTTCACAAAAAAAAAAAACAAAAAAAAGTTTTCCATACATGAACTTGATTTTGATCGTTGGGTTTGTATGGCAGCTACATGCTATAATAGTTCGGAGTTTGTATCCTAGCCTTGTGCAGTAAGCAAAATACGAAATTAATATAAATAAAAGCAAATTAAAAAAGCTTTCCATACAAAGACTTGATCTTCGTCCGTCAGTTTGTACGGCAGTTATATTCTATAGTGGTTTGATATCGGCGATTCCGACAACTGAGCAACTTCTTGGTGAGAAAAGCAAGTGTGCTAAATTTTAGACTGATATCTCAAACACTTCACGTACATACATATATACAGACAGAGAGACGAACAAATAAACGGACATGGCTAATTCGACTCCGCTCGTACTGTTGATTATATTAATATATCATTAATATAATATTTTATAGGGTCTCCGACGTTTCCTGCTGGGTATTAAAAACTTCATGGCAAACTTAACACAGGGTATATTAGTAGGGTGAATCAAAAAAATCGATTATTTTTTTTCGCTTGGTAGTCTGAAAAATAGGTTCTTAGACACCTCTACGAAAATTTCTCCAAGAATAAGCTTTTAATACTAAAGGGAAGATCGTCCGCCTAACGGTTTACTATTTTTTCCTTATTATCACATAGACAAATTCATATCTCGCTTTCACCTACTAAGAAAGATATCTCGTTTTCTATCGCAAGAATTATAAGCATTTCCATAGTATATCGGAAATATAGTGCTATATTTGTAACCACACTAGTTGTGTCAGCTGAAACTTCGGCTGGGTATTCCTACAAAAAGCTTTCAAGCTTATGGAAGTGAAGACAACGCAAAAATTGGCTAAAGCTTTTCAGTATAAAAAGCTTACTTTGAAAAGCATTTTTTGTGCAATGTTCAGAAATATGTTTGCATGTATAAAAACTTATACATACATAGGTGTGTGCAAAATTTAAAATATGAAGATAACAGTAAATGTTTCTTTTACTAATTTTATGTATGTTTTAGTTCAACAACTAATAATATTTGTAATATTTATTAACAATTTATAAGCAATAAATTTGAAAAGCAAGAAATATCTGGCCATATACATAACGCCCTCATGGAAATATTACGATGACTGTTGTGTTGAGTTCAGTTAACAACTTCCAACTTTATTCAATCAAAGCTTTATTAGTAGAAAAGGGATCTACCATATTAAAGTTAATGACTTTAAAAGGAAGCGGCACAGCATTTAAGAAAGAATGTGAAAACATTGAAAACCTTATTTCTGCATAATTGCTTTGTTGGAATTTCAATGTTGACATAAGAGACTCACAAGCTTTCATAGATATGTAAACCATATACACAAGAAAGCTTGCTTCGGGGATCCTGGAAAAGCTTAATATATGCCCCGGCAAAAATTAACAATAAATAAATACGTGTTATATAATCGTATACTTCGCTAAAAGTTTTTCTAACATTTTTGAAATGTTATGATATGGTTAATATAATCAATCGAAGAAAAATTTGAGCAGGCTTTGTCAAAAAATGCATAATATATGGTTGTTTGAAACTAATACCTGCTTTAAAATACAGGGTGGCTCACGAATCGTGCTACAAAAACAAACCGTAATAACTTTTTTTCTGTGTGAATAATCGACTTACCTTTTTTTTTATTTGGCAGGTTATTATTTAAATTTTTTAAAAGTGAATCCTAGGGATACCAAAAGGAATTTTGGCGGAACAATCCCGAGTAGATGGACCATTATGAGGTTGGTAAACATGTATGTCAAATCTTGAAGTATCTCAAGAAGACTGTACCATCGAGATCCGTATGTTCGTGTTCAAGAAACAATCGCGGCTGCTGCACCGTAAATTCAGGCAAATCCAAGAGTTTCGACTCGCAACTCATCGTCGCAACTTGGAGTTAGCTGACGGTCATTACAACGTATAATTCATGATGACTTATACCTGTTTCCGTACAAAGTTTAAACAACAAGTCTGTCAAACCCTATAGACTTGCCTATTCGCCTGGAATTTTGCCAAAAAATGATTGAAATGGCCGAAGAAGACTATAACTTGTTAAATTGCATGTTTGTGTGTGATGAGGCCCATTTAGATTCAAACGGAAATGTAAACAAGTAAAATTGCGGTATAAGGAATAAATCAAATCCAGAAATAATCCACGAGACGTTATTTAAAGATGTTGAATGAGTTTTTTTACTAAGAACTGCGCCGAAGACGTATCGCTTCCAATAGTGTTTTGTTCCAGCAAGATGGAATAACAGCACACATAGCCAGACCGGTTATTGCGAAGCTTTAAAGAAAATTTGAAAACAAATCAATATCAAGAAACTCAACCTTTCGCTGGCCAATGTCAGCTGATCTGACTGTACCAGATTTTTTTTATGTGGTTCTGGGAAGCAAGAGGTGTACAAAACAAAACCCAAAAATCTGACTGAATTGAAATAGTCTATTAAATCGATAATTGAGGCAATCCCGACTTCAACCCTTTAAGTCGCAATAAATAAATTTCTAATTAGGTGCCTAGCTATGGAGGACACTTACGGTCCATAATTTTTGAAATTAATTAATTATATAAAATAAAATAAAATTTGCTTTACAATAATAATAAAAAAGATAAATTTGAATTGATTAAAAAAAGTTATTACGGTTTGTTTTTGTAGCACAATTCGCGAGCCACCCAGTACTTACAGTAGATATCGCTGTCATCGGAATATTTCCAATTTTTTTATTATAGAAAAATAGAAAGAGTATATAAATTTGGTTTATATTATTGTACATACATATATTATGGGAGTGAAAAGTGATATCTTAACGAACACTATTTCTAAATCATATATATATATAGGTATACAGTTTACTACAAGTAGAGAAAAGCTCTAAGTTCCTCAGAAATTGACTATCATTGTCTTCAAGTCGAGATATTCTCATTTCATTTAGATTTGATTTGCGTATTTGGTATTATATTAGCAATTTGCATTATATAACTGTGGGGTTTCACTCATATTATAATTTCTAATATTCAAATATGTAATTTTGACAAAAATAATGTATAGTAGTAAGGCAATTAATTTCGAAAAAGGTTTGCCAAGGGTGCTTATGACTAAAGCATATTCACATATGCTTCGTTACAAACCGATATGTGAGGCTCGTCACCATTAACTTTTCATTTTTAGCATTTTAACGCACATTTGTTAGCATTTGAAGCGGAATTCATAAATTAGGCGACAAAGTGCCACTCAGACCCAGCAAAACTTAAATATAATATATATTTAGTAAAGAGCATGCACTTAAAATGCATATGTAGGAAGCATACAAGCCTTACACATACATGAGTGTGTGTGTGTGTGTAGGAGAGATTGAATGCCGTGTGTGCTTGTGTTGGCGTTGCGCTTAAGAAAATCAGGAAACGGAAATATGGCGTGGCGCTGTGAATTGAACTTTACACGACCGTCACCCCAAATCACTTGCCAAAAACAGCTATAGTAGCACATGCAACAACAACAACAAGCAGCATAACAACAGTAAGAGCATAGAACACCACAAGTCGACCACATTGAGGCTGGTCTGACAGCGCCAATTCGGTTGCTGGCATTTGGCTTCAGTGGAATCTGCTGTGCAAAAATTCGAATATTT